TGCCATTTCAAGGCAAGTAATTTTGTTATATTTTCGTCTTGGAATATCACGATAATCCATACAAATTATACGAGCTTGTTTAGGATCAACACCATATTCCTTAATACGATTATTTCCAAATTCAGTTTGGTTACGACCAAGTGTAATTCCCGTAGAATCTACATCATAATTCTTTGCAGCGTATGCAGCAAGAGTACCCCAACCACAACCAATATCTAAATGTTTTTCACCAGCTTTAAGTTTAATCTTTTCACAAACAAGTTTAAGTTTATTTTCTTGAAGTTCTTCAAGTGTTTCATTTTTACTTGGATCCGAAATAATACCAGAAGTATAGACCATACTTGGACCTAAAAATGCAGCATAAAAATCATCACCACGATCATAATGATCACGTACTTGATCTTCATCTTGTTTTTTAGTGTGCATTATAGTTTCAGGAATCCATTGAGTTAAAAAAAATTTTGCTTGACCAATAGCAAATTCGAAAGAAGCCCAATCATGACGTGCTTCAATAATTTTTAAAGCATCATCACAAAGATCAATCTTTCCATCAAAATAATTTTCAAAAAAGATTTCCATTGGAATTTTATTACGACCAACATAAGTTGATAATGAAGCATCCTTCATAGTGATATACTCTTCAATATTTCTTCCCGGAAGTCGAACCTTGTTGTTGTAAGGTGAAGCAAATTTAGAAGAGAGGTATACGAATAATAAATGAATAATGATACCAAGCGGAAGGAGGAGGAAAATAAGCCAGGTCCAAAAACCTAGGCGAAAATAATAGGCAAGAAAGAGCGGGACACCAATATCTGCAGCAACCAACTGATACATGCTGAAAGTTTGGTTACCAGCTCCTTCGGCAGGAAATGGCGCATTGGCTATAGAAGCCCAATTTGTAATTTTAATACCAGTATCTTTTGACATCTCTTTAAACAGAAATGAGAGAAATGTGTGTTAGTACATTTTGAAATGTGAGAGTAATTGTAACTACTTGCAAGTATAAGTCGCGTAATTTATTTTTTCAACTTTGTCGAAATTAGGACACGCTTTATTTACCTTCGTAATTTGTCGTTTAATAATAAAAAATTTTAAGTTAAAGGGATGTACCAAAGGAATTTTAACACATTCTTGTACTAACGCCAAATAATTCAATGCGATACACGAAAATTTCTTTGATTATCGGACATCAGAAAATCAGAACATCACGATCAGATTGGAGGCTTAACTTAGTTGTCCAATCAAGAAATTTCCGATATTTTATTTTGGTTATGATCATTTTCATTCTAATACCAAATCACGTATTCTCTATCAACCTTTTTATTTATAACTAAGGTTGGCTGGGGTGGTTCGGTCCGGTCTTGACCTGAATTAAATGCATTTATTGGCAAAAAAAAAATAATAATAACGATGCGATAACAATAAAGTTTATTGCTTGCGTGTTATTATGTAATACGTCTATATCAGTGAATTTACGGGATACAAAATTTACCCGTTAACCGTTACTGATCGTTTAATTTTATTGAGATGGTGTTACCATCTGGGTTTGGAGAGCTAACGCCGACGGTAGAAACTTGTAGAGCATATTAATAAAGGAACGAATCGAGATAGATACTTGGGAACCTCCACAACAAAGGGAGCAATGGGCCAAAAAATTTTTTAAAAAAATTAATTTCTTGAAAAATTATAGTAATAGGCATATAATTTTTTATTACAAAATCAAAATTTTTGGCTTATTGCTTTCTTTTGCTGTAGGGGTTCCCATTTTCTCATCATCTTTTTATTAAGGTCAAAATATTTGCGCATCTATATTCATACTAAGTTCTTGAATGAATGCTACTTTCATACTGCAGTACTGGATTATCACGTATCAATTTAAATCGTGACATCAGCTACATAATACGGTATCGTAAAGTTTCAATTCGCAGTCAAGAATACAAAAGACATTAATAAATATCAAAGTAATTTTGGGATCACCAAGATAATTCAAAAGGTAGCTAAGATGCGTTTTGTCTTCTACCACCCAAAAGAAAGGCTTGGTATTATGATTTAAATGGTTAGGGGACATCCATAATTTACGTTAAACCAGTACGGTATTGTATAAAAATAGATACCTTGAAGATAATTTCATATAGTATTATTTTTGTATTATCTTTAAGATCCCTATAACAATGCTGGTTTAACGTAAATTATGAACGTCCCTTATGATGTTGATGTTATCTGTGATTGTGAGCAGCACGGGCTCTTCATTCGTAATGATCAAATACAATACGTTAATTGGCAAAGCCTTATGTTAAAAATATATCGATATCGATATTGTAAATGCAAAAAAAAATTAATCAATCATTTTTCAGTGCATTAAAGAAGGTCGTTATCAGTTATGGTAGATTTTTGGCAGTATTGTTGGAGGAATGGGCATATGTCCAATTGAATTATGTCTAAATAGTTCAATTGACAACACTGTATATTTAGTACTGTAGTATGGTATCTCATCACCCATCACGAAATAAGTCCCAACCCAGGACGATGATTTTCTATGATTCATAGGAAATAGCAAACTTCTTAAGTACAGCCAACCACAGAAATTACCCTTAATCGCCGCTGCACCAAAGACCACCGGAAAAGCACCAAAAACCAAATTTCGAGCGTCTTAATTGTTAGTCTAATACGTAGATAAATATATACAGTACTGTATTTCTATTTATAATCGCATTGCTGGAATGGAAATCATTGGCCGCCCTTACATATAATTACCACGTGATGATCGACGATCGCGTTATTTGTTTGTCAACGTACATTATTTTGAACATTTCTTTATTGTCTACGCAATGGATAGTGACCACGGTGACTTCAGTGACCACGGAACCTCAGTTTTTTTGCACGAATTAGAAGAAGATATAAATAGCTGGATTGAAAAAACAATTCGTGTTGTTGGAACGCAAGTAGCTCTCAAAAAAAAAACACGCGAAAAAAGAATTTAAATAATTTCGTTAAATATAAAATAAAAGTTTTTAAATTTTTTTTTAGACTAAAATATACTCAGCTTAGTACTGAAACCGCAATTATTGAACAGTACTTAAATCATTCTAAACATCGCCTTATTGTAGACACACGATCGGTTGAAGATACCAGTCGAGATTGTAGTGGTGATATGGTTGAATTAATAGGAAAACTGACATGGGATGTATGTTTTGATCTTGTCCTGAATGAATCATCGTTTAAGAATTTGACTATCTCATTTATCAGTTATTATATTTATTTAGGATATACCTGGTCCTGGAGTAACTTCAAGATATAGTCAACTCCCACCCGAATTTCAGGCAAAATACATTTCGAAACAAAGGGTTCCAGTGATTAGAGCATACATTATGCGTAATGCTCAAGGAATAAATATGACTTTATATCAAGAAGTAATCAAATTAAGAAGACAATTTGATTTGGATTTTAATGCGCTGATGGAAGACGAAGGATACGAAGTTATACACGTTGACGAGGTTGACGAGGTTGACGATGCATAAAAGAATTATGTTTTCTATAGCATATAATGCTTTGAAGAATATAGTAATTCAAATGTGTTATGAGTTCACTTATATATATATATATATTGTATCAAAGTTTATCTAGTAAATTTTTAAAGGTTGCAATTATATAGGAATCGATTTTTTGATCAATGTGATTATTGTGCCAGTATTCAAGTATTCATGTTGAAAACAGTAATAAAAATATATATATATACGTGATTTAATATTGAATAAAAAGTTCATTTTTAATGAGTACTAGAATTTCTTATATATTATGTTTATCGCTGTGAAATTTTTATTTTACATATAAGAATTTCGATTTAATTTTTAAATACACGCTGTTTGAAGTTAGATTAAAATTTATTAAAAATCTTTAATAGAATTATTTTTATTAGTAATATTGTTAATTCGACATGGAAACGTAATAATTTTTATGTTGTAAACATTCATTCATTTCGTTAATTAATACCATTAAACTATATAATCAGCATTGTGCAATAACTTTATTATTAAAATTATAAAACTGTTTACGTATATAATAAATTTTAGATTTAAGTTTGAGCTAAAAAAATTAAAAGCTAACAAAAAAAAAGCTAGCAAAAAAAAAAGCTAACAAAAAATTAAAAGTTAACAAAAAAAAAAGCTAACAAAAAAAGTTAACGAAAAAAAAAAGGAAAAAAAAAATTTACCCTACGTAATTAATTCTTATTTAAAAAAAATGCATGGAATAAGTTTGTGAGAACCGCGTCACAATTCACCTTAGTCGCAAAAAGCACATTATTTAAATTTTCATCAAGTTCATGAACATCCTTGATGTGCGCTCGAATTTTTTTAATGTTACTCGGGTCAAGTGTGTTACAAAGGCGACACTCAAAAACTAGTTGATCTCGAAGACCACCAACTTTTAATGCCCCGTCCATCTCGAGGAAATATGGTGGAGGGGTTGTCCTGGAAGCGCATAGTTGTTCAGCTTCCCTTTTTAATGTGGGCAAAAGTTTTCTTATAAAAAACTCTTGGGAATATTCCTCGAGATCCGGTGGGTTTACGAAGCTTGGGCATATTGGCAAATATACGTATAGTACATCAAAAATACTTATAATTTGACATTGCGATGTTCTTTTTGATCCATATGTTAGTTTTCTAAGGCGTTTAACGATTTTGATTCGTTTTTGTGTTATTTTATCCACAATTTTGTTTTTGGATGAGACCAGTGTGGGTGGAAAAGTGGTGCTTGTGAGATTCCTATCAATCCTTTGAGCGATTTGTAAAATCCTTGATTTATATTGCTGCCAATCTTGTACTAAAAAAGGATTGCATTGTATTTCGGTCTTCAATTTTTTGTATTCATAATCTTCTTGCATCTTGAATAAAGTTTCTCTATTAATTTCAGCATGCAATCTTGAAAAATGATCATCTTGTCCTCTAAGGTAGAATTGACGTAAATTAAACATCCATTTTTCATAATTTTTAGTTTCTTTATATTTATTTCCGACATCTTTTCTTAAATTATTTAACGCGCGTCGCATATTATCATCAGCATTCATAAGAAACGCGATAACATTCTTAACGTGATCGATCCAATAATGTGTATGCTTAGATTCTGGTAAATCAATGCTTGGTGTTACTGGTAAAATAAGTCCAAGAACTTCATTATCGATCTTAAAAGTTGATCCAAGTATATGTGAACTATTAAATATTATTAATAAAATTTATTCGGATTCAAATTATTATCAAAATAATAATAATAATAATAATAAATATAAATATATATATATATATATGTAAATAGTAAATTAATATACCTAAACACTCTTGGGAACATACAATCCCGACAAGAGCGAACACCAGGAATCCAATATATTGTCAACGCTTTTTCTTTAGTTTTACAAAACTGACAACCTTTTTCGAATGTTAACAGCCTGGTAAAAGTATGTTGATTCATTCCAGATGGTGGTTCCATATCTCGAAAAGTTGTAAATTTAATTCTAGAATTTCTCCAGATTTCTTCAGCTAATGGATTGATGTTTTCGTCTAAAATACTTTTGAAAGTTTTGCACACGCATACCAGCGAAAGAAGATCTGACGGCCGCAAATTATAGCAGACAAATATGAAAGTTTCTAAGTCTAGCATTTTTTTTTATAATATCTTTACGTGTGTATTTTTTTTTATAATATCTTTACGAGCCGTATTTTTTTTATAATATCAGATATCTTTACGTGCGTACTTTACGTACGTACGCGTATACGTGTTATTTATTCATTTTATAGGCTAGCTGCAGGGGTGAAAAATTACAGCTGACCTGAATATTAATAGAACACGCACGTACGGTAATAAATCGCGTTGATAAAAGCGACCCACGAAAAAACGGGAGCGGGACGGATTTGCCGGGTTACATATAATTGAAACGAAATTTTAACTTCACTCAAATTGTCAAAAAATTTAGAACTAACTTAAAGTTAATACTTAATATTGCCCATTCGACGTACAACACATATATATATCTTATATATCGATCGTACCGAAGTCAAAGACTTAACCGAATCAGTCAAAGAATCATTCGGTTAACTTTCTCAGGTGTCCCAGAATTTATGATACGGGTGGGTTATCCATATCATTTTTATCATTTTGCAAATATTGTTATTTATTTCGATATCAGATATAAAAATTTGATTAAAGTACGTACGTATAACGAGCCTAATTTCTACTTTTGTCCAATATACATGCCACAAAAATATTCGTAAACTCGCGCATGTTTAGATACTCATTTAACAATTATTATACGACAGGGTGAAACCTGAGTCACCAGCTAGTAAAAGTTGCGTTAATTGGTTAAACCTGAGATATAAAGTAAAATC